GGCAACTGTAAGTGTCTGATCACTGATCAAGGCTAAGGCTCTGGTCTTTGATTCTACAGACAGTGCCTCTCAAGCTTCATGTCTCTGGGCCTCAGTTCCCTATCTGTAAAAGCGGTTAATGCTTTGCACTTCACATAGAATTCGTCTGTAGTTATCAAGGTAGCTCAAAAAGATGGGTAAGAGTTTATTATTAACCTTGTTTTACATTTGGCTTAACTAAGTACTGATATCCAAAGCAATTGGTATGCAATAAGGTACAAGTCTACCACCTCTAAAGTAAGGAATCCCTTCTTGGCTCTATCAATGTAACTTCTGACAATCTACTTAAATTCAGTTCCTCTGCTACCTCATCTGGAAAATGGACCTGTGTACATTCCCCCTAGGCTAAAGGACTGTTTCTTTTTGTTTGATTTTTTTGGGTAAGCGGGGGGACACAGATGGAGTCAGTTACTTCAGTAGATTCTAAAATTTCTTTTCACTCTTCTTAAAAGTAGCCCTGTCCAGTTCTGAAATAGTCTCAATTTTTGTTGCCAGCTACTATTAGGGCTATGGAACGGCTGCCATATGAGGAGAGATTAATAAAACGGGGACTTTTCAGCTTGCAAAAGAGATGACTGAGGGGAGGGGGATATGATAGAGGTCTATAAAATCATGACTGGTGTGGAGAAACTAAATAAGGAAGTTTTTTTTTTTTCACACAATGCACAGTCAACCTGTGGAGCTCCTTGCCAGAGGATGTTGTGAGATCAAAGACTATAATCGGGTTAAAAAAAGAGCTAGGTAAGTTCACAGAGGATAGGTCCATTAATGGCTATTAGCCAGGATGGGCAGGGATGGTGTCCCTACCCTCCGTTTACCAGAAGCTGGGAATGGGCGACAGGGGATGGCTCACTTGATGATTACCTGTTCTGTTCATTCCCTCTGGGACACCTGGCACTGGCCACTGTCGGAAGACCCTCAGGGAACTGATGGGCAGGATCCCCTGGGAGTAGGGTAACCAGACAGCAAATGTGAAAAATTGGGACGGGGGTGGGGGATAATAGCAGCCTATATAAGAAAAAGACCCCAAAATTGGGACTGTCCCTATAAAATCGGGACATCTGGTCACCCTACCTGGGAGAATAACATGAGGGGGAAAGGAGTCCAGGAGAGCTGGCTGTATTTTAAAGAATCCTTATTGAGGTTGCAGGAAAAAAACATTCCAATGTGTAGAAAGAACAGTAAATATGGCAGGTGACCCGCTTGGCTTAACAGTGAAATCCTTGCTGACCTTAAACGCAAAAAAGAAGCTTACAAGAAGTGGAAGATTGGACAAATGACCAGGGAGGAGTATAAAAATATTGCTCAGGCATGCAGGAGTGAAATCAGGAAGGCCAAATCACACTTGGAGTTGCAGCTAGCAAGAGATGTTAAGAGTAACAAGAAGGGTTTCTTCAGGTATGTCAGCAACAAGAAGAAAGTCAAGGAAAGTGTGGGCCTCTTACTGAATGAGGGAGGCAACCTAGTAACAGAGGATGTGGAAAAAAGCTAATGTACTCAAAGATTTTTTTGCCTCTGTCTTCACAAACAAGGTCAGCTCCCAGACTTCTGCACTGGGCAGCACAGTATGGGGAGAAGGTGACCAGCCCTCTGTGGAGAAAGAAGTGGTTTGGGACTATTTAGAAAAACTGGATGAGCACAAATCCATGGGGCCGGATGCGCTGCATCCAAGGGTGCTAAAGGAGTTGGCAGATGTGATTGCAGAGCCATTGGCCATTATCTTTGAAAACTCATGGCGATCGGGGGAGGTCCCGGATGACTGGAAAAAGGCTAATGTAGTGTCCATCTTTAAAAAAAGGGAAGAAGGAGGATCCAGGGAACTACAGGCCAGTCAGCCTCACCTCAGTCCCTGGAAAAATCATGGAGCAGGTCTTCAAGGAATCCATTCTGAAGCACTTTGAGGAGAGGAAAGTGATCAGGAACAGTCAGCATGGATTCACCAAGGGCAAGTCATGCCTGACCATCCTGATTGCCTTCTATGAGAAGATAACTGATTCTGTGGATGAGAGGAAAGCAGTGGATGTGTTATTTCTTAACTTTAGCAAAGCTTTTGATATGGTCTCCTACAGTATTCTTGCCAGCAAGTTAAAGAATTATGGGCTGGATGAATGGACTATAAGGTGGATAGAAAGCTGGCTAGATCGTCGGGCTCAACGGGTAGTGATCAACAGCTCCATGTCTAGTTGGCAGCCGGTTTCAAGTGGAGTGCCCCAGGGGTTGGTCCCGGAGCCGGTTTTGTTCAGTATCTTGAAGGATAGCGTGGACTGCACTCTCAGCAAGTTTGCAGATTAAACTAAACTGGGAGGAGTGGTAGATACGCTGGAGGGTAGGGATAGGATACAGAGGGGCCTAGACAAATTAGAGGATTGGGCCAAAAGAAACCTGATGAGGTTCAACAAGGACAAGTGCAGAGTCCTGCACTTAGGACGGAAGAATCCCATGCACTGTTACAGACTAGGGACTGAATGGCTAAGAAGCAGTTCTGCAGAAAAGGACCTAGGGTTACAGTGGACGAGAAGCTGGATATGAGTCAACAGTGTGCTCTTGTTGCCAAGTAGGCTAACAGCATTGTGGGCTGTATAAGTAGGGGCATTGCCAGCAGATCGAGGGACGTGATTGTTCCCCTCTATTCGACATTGGTGAGGCCTCATCTGGAGTAGTGTGTCCAGTTTTGGGCCCCACACTACAAGAAGGATGTGGAAAAATTGTAAAGAGTCCAGCGGTGGGCAACAAAAATGATTAGGGGGCTGGAGCATATGACTTAAGAGGAGAGGCTGAGGGAACTGGGATTGTTTAGTTTGCAGAAGAGAAGAATGAGGGGGGGAGTTGATAGCTGCTTTCCACTACCTGAAAGGTGTTTCCAAATAGGATGGATCTATACTGTTCTCAGTGGTACCTGATGACAGAACAAGGAGTAATGGTCTCAAGTTGCAGTGGGGGAGGTTTAGGTTGGATATTAGGAAAAGCTTTTTCACTAGGAGGGTGGTGAAGCACTTGAATGGGTTACCTAGGGAGGTGGTGGAATCTCCTTTCTTGGAGGTTTTTAAGGTCAGGCTTGACAAAGCCCTGGCTGGGATGATTTAGTTGGGAATTGGTCCTGCTTTGAGCAGGGGGTTGGACTAGATGACCTCCTGAGGTCCCTTCCAACCCTGATATTCTATGATTCTATATTTCTATGACCGGATACTGGGCTAGATGGACCTTTGGTCTGACCCAGTATGGCCGTTCTTATGTTCTTGTGTTCTTCTCTCTTTTTGCAATCAGTTTTACTGACAGAAAATCAGGTCTTGTTTTCAATAATGGCAATTTTTTAAACATTTTTAATTCCTGCCCTTGAAAACTGCTTCTTACACAAGTCCCAAGTCAAAATTTACTTGTGTTTTCAAACTTTGTAATCTTTCATTTGATTTAAGGGACATAAACTTACACTTTGCCAAAAAAAAAAAAATCTGAAGTAATTTCAAAGTACGTATATTTCAAAATATATTCTAGTTCTTGGTGAGTCAGCTATAAACTTCAGAAAGCATGAAGGTTTTTTGTAGTTATAAGACTGATTTTCTTTTATCTCCCTTAGATATGGAACCATAATTACAGGTCTCCATATGAAGAGGCTGCTATGTCTCCATAGTAAACTCAATTAGAACCCCAATCCAATAGTTGCAAAAACTATTGGACCGAGCCTTTACTGCTTAAACTAAAGGAAAGTGTTAGCTTTCGTTTACAGAAGGACCGTTGTTATTTCTAAGCTGCTAATAGAGGGCATATGCATATTAAGATGCTTAACCTTACTTCTGCTGAAGGCAATGGCAAAAAAACAAAACAAAACAAAAAAACGACCAACGAAAACCAAACTCTCTTGTTGAAATAAATAGAGCAGGATTGCCCCTGAATTGCCCACCACAAAAATCAAGAACTTTGGCTTTGTTACAATGTATTTTGAAACCTAACGTAACAAGAGGGTTAGTTTAAAGGAGGAGTAATAATCCACTTTTGAGTTAGGGTTAGACAAAATTAGACAAAACTCAATTTCCAATCAGTGTAACTTTTCAAATTCTCCTTTTTCTTAAGAATAAATCTGACAACTTTCAAGCCAAACAAATTTTGTATGCAAAGGTATAGGATTGCAAAAACAAGCATTATTATGGAAGCTAATTGTAACCTTAACTACAGACAATAAGGAGGTTAAGTTGAAGCATGAGTGGGACTGCTTTATCTTTAACATTGACCTTCTGGGTTTTCCCTACTTCTTACTAGCCAACCCTTTGATTAAGTATACTCTATTGTGGTTGTTCAAAGGCATGATAGCCTATTTAGTGGGAACATCTCAGATTCTAGGACTTTGCCCTGCAGGGTGCACTGAACTGAACAGGGCACATGAAGTTTGAAACTGTCAGTGATGAGGACCCAGCAAAGACTTTGCTAGATCTGTTGCAGTATAATAAGGAAAATTGTATCTTAAAAACCCGCATTGTGAGTTTGATATTCTTTCAGTGATATATTAAATCTTCAAAACATAAAAGCCTAGTTCTAACTGTAAAGCCTATTACAATTTTATTTGGATTTGAGCCATTTGCATGTTTGCTAGATCTTCCTGAGAGAATGTTGCAGATACCTTGTGTGTGTATATATTTTTATGTTTGATATTCTGTTAAGGTCTGGAAAAAGTTCCCATGGAGTTTCTTTATAGGGATCCTTGCAAATGTTTTATGGTTTCAAGAGATGTAGATATTTACAGATTGACAGCTTTTTCTTATTACAATTTTCAGTGTTTTAGTTTTGATGATTGTGACAGTGGTTAAAGATGGTTTGATTCCTTTTGATCCTCATTCTGCTGTAGTGTTTCAGTGTCTTGATCTAGTTTAAGAAGACAGAAATCAGTGTAATATACTTGCATTTTATCAGTTTAAGTGAATATAAATGCAATCTGTAAAATATTCCTCTTTTTTTGTTTTTGTGCACAGAAAAGATGAAAAGGAGTATGCACTGAAGCAAATTGAAGGTACAGGGATATCGATGTCGGCCTGTAGAGAGATTGCAGTAAGTGGACATAAACAAAAGAAAATATTTTCTTATACTTTGTTATGCAATGGATAATGTATGTCTTGCTCTGTGAACAATACAACCAAAGGCTTAAAGTAGAAACTTTTCACTTTAGGTATGAAAATTTGAAGGTTCCAATATACGCTTCTACTAAAATTAATGTTTTGTAAATATATTAAAAACAACTTGTAAATGTCAGATCTTTTTAGGTTTTTAAGGCCCGGCTTGACAAAGCCCTGGCTGGGATGATTTAGTTGGGAATTGGTCCTGCTTTGAGCAGGGGATTGGACTAGATGACCTTCTGAGGTCCCTTCCAACCCTGATATTCTATTCTATGATCTGTGGCAAGGATATAATATATATTTTTTTCAGGATAATTTTGTCTGTCTTACTTTATTTGCCAGGGTTAAAAAACAAAAGTATTGTTTTAAAAACTATATCAATTAAATTTAAAAAATATTTAAGGTTCCAAAAGAGACTCTAATTGCCATTATGAAAAGGTCACTAATGTGTTCTATGTCAGTGTAATGGTAACCTACTCTTGTTTTATGTCTGAAAATGCACTGGAGTCTTGTTACACTCTGTGGTCTCCTTCGTACAGAAAGTTGTCTTAAGACTACTTTTCCATTTTGCTTTAATGCTTTCTTTCATTGTAAGTGTATGCATCTCCTAGTGATGTCAGTAGGACTCGTAATAATAATAGGAATTGCATGTCTGTATCTGAAGGCAGAATTTGGCCATTTGATGTTTTTTGAGACTGAAAATAACTGTGCATTAGGGTTAAAGTACTTGTTAGGGGAATAAAATTTTGTAATGCAATGCCTGCTGCATCATTGTAAAAGAGATGCACTTGCTTGATCTAATATATTTGAATGCTGACATCATGGTCAGTGCTTACAAATATAAGATGTATGCCTCTGGCTTTTTATACTCTAGTACCCTAACACAAAAATAAGCTGTTCAGACTCACACAGTGTCACATGACAATAGAAGCTCATGGTGGTCAGGAATTGAAGAGGCCACTGACTTCTGTTTAGCATAATATACATGGTAACTTTTTGTGTAATCTAAAGAGGCTTAGCAGCTAAAAGTTCTGTTCTTTAAAGTGCCTGTCACTATTAAATTAAGGTAGTTCACTGTGGAGATTATAGGTACACCTCTACCTCGATATAACGCTGTCCTCAGGAGCCAAAAAATCTTACCGCGTTATATTGAACTTGCTTTGATCCACTGGTGTGCGCAGCCCCGATCCCCCCCGGAGCACTGCTTTACCGCATTATATCCGAATTAGTGTTATATCGGGTTGCGTTCTATCGGGATAGAGGTGTAGTTGCAGGGTTATCCAATTACAATTAAAAGAATCTACCTCTATGACCTGCCTGCTGGAATTTCTGTCTTTGAGGGAATAACAACTGTTTTCTAATATCAGTGCTAGAATGTGTTCAGTTAGCATACAGTCAATCTTCTGACAGCAGTGAGACTTTTATCATCTCTGCATTTTTACTCCCTTAGTTTTAAATTGTATTAATATTTTGTGGGGGAGGGTTCAGTTCTCCCATGTAATTTTTCCTTCTCTATGAGACCATATGGCCATACTAGTGTCTATTTAATAACATCTGTATGCTGACATGGAAATATGTCAGCATCATAGTCTTGCTTTTTCTTTTTTTGAACTGTTCTAGTTTGGTTCAAGAGCTCAAGACAACCTAGAAAAATGACACAACTATTACATAAGGCTTTTAATTCTACAGTAAATAAAAGTGTGGCTTTTGCTTGTTTTATTTTGGCTGCCTCAGCGGATGACTTATTCATCTCCAGAACATTTCTCACAAATTCCATAGTAAAACTCCTGTGGCTGAGATGGCATGGCAAACTACTGCTGGCCTCAGTAAAATTTAAGGTTGGCAAACACTGAGTAACCTTAGGGAAGATGATGGCTCAGGTAGTCGAAACAGAAAAACATACTCTTCCTTTTATCAAATAAGATAGACTAAAGGGGGCACTATGGGGCACACTTTATAACTTCTGTGGGTCAAGCTCAGTGCACACACCAGGGGCTCCTTGCATTCATGCATTCCACCCCACAAGCTCCTTATGTGACACTCTCCCATCTCCTCTATTTCAGGGACTCTCTGTAACTCCCCAGTCTCCCCTTGCAGATTTCCTGTGTGCCCCCTGATTCCCTCCTCCCACTACAGTGGGTGACCCATTCTCCTCACCATACCAGGGGCTTTTTTCCCCCTTCCTTGCCGATCCCCCCACCCACCAGGGTTGCCCATTCTCCCCACCATACTAGGGATTGTCTTCCCTGTCCGCCATTTGCCCCACCATACTAGGGGCTCTGTGTCTGTCTTCCTGCATCCCTCCAAAGGATACCTAACCTTTTCTTCCTCCCTTATTGAATGGCGGTGTGGGTGGCTGATGCCTTCCCTTGCCCAAATGGAGCAGGCTTTGAGGAGGCAAAGTATGAGGAAGGAATGAAAGTAGCCTCCTTCTCTATCCTCTCCCTCTGTCTGCCCAGGGGGGCTACGCATCCACCCCAAAGCTCCAAGCAGGGAGAGCAATTATTTCTCTTTTGATCATTCAGAGATCAGGGTGTGAACATGTTAAATTCTACTGGAAGGGTGAAGGGGATATTTTTCTGAGGGATGGTATTAATGGGTTGCCATCAACAGGAGACTGTGGCTGAGTGTGTCTTGTTTTCCCTTTTTCAATATTGTTATTCTCCTCCAAATCAATAGACTTCCGACTACTGATGTCTAGAATATTCCCTGAAATTTTTGGAATTGATTGGACACAGTGTTCAAAAGCTACTGTGTGACAGACAGAGAGATTCCATGATATTGAACGTAAGGCCTCACAAGCTTGGCCAAAAATGTATCTCAAAACCTGCAGTACAGGGTTTGCTTATACAAACCTATGAAGTCCTACAGCAGAGAGACTGGATTGGTAGAGACGTCTCTATATATGGCAATGGAGAGAGCAGATTCAGAGAGAGTGAGTGTCTATGTAAGAAGAGGAAATTAGCCCTCAGATTTAAAACCAGTTTATAGTACAAGAACTCAGAAACTTCCTTTCTGATATTTGCATTGCAAGTGGGAAGACTACACATTTCTCTTGAAAAGCTCAACATTACATAGGTGAGTCTAAAGGATTCAGATGAAGGAGGCCATATTAAGACTAGTGTGTGGATAGTTCTTTTGGCATCCATAATACAAATTTCAGAGGAATGATCAGGATGGATGCCAGTCTCCAAAACTGGGGCTCATCTTCATAGTGTATATGTGGCTCCATTGAATGAGGTTGCATATAGGAAAGGCACATGTGGTGCAAACAACCTGATTGACTGAGTGTTCAGGATAGCTGACAACCCATCCTGTTTCTGATGTTTAACCATGTTATACCTGAGCAAAACCTGAGGTTCCAGAAATTTATCACTGTGTTAGGAGGTCATTCAGCTGTCCACAGGTTCAAAACCATTATACATAGAAGACATTGCACAAGATGGGAGGATATCAGATATAGCTTTGTGACCTAGAGACTGACTTTTTCTGTCAAGGAGAAATGCAAAGACCGCTATCTTTTTCCAGAGAGATTACGGATCAGTTTATCAGTCTTTTGTTAGGACTTGGCAAATCATTTTTGTGCTTTGCCTTTCTTCCTTTACCTCGGTTTATGTTCCCTGTCCATAGAAAGGAAAGGGCTCCTATAACTGATTGTATCAAATAGGTAATGGTTCCTAGAGTCAGTGGTGGTGATTGTATCCCATCTTTCAACTTTTGGACAACATCAGCTGAAGCAGGAATTCATATTTCATTCAAACTTGTTGTATTCATGTTGTAATTTAGATTCTGTTGGCAATCATAAGAACAGCCATACTGGGTCAGACCAATGGTCCTCTAGCCCAGTATCCTGTATCTCACAGTGCCAGATGCTTCAGAGGGAATGAACAGAACATTGCAATTTCGAGTGATCCATCCCCTGCCATCCAGTCCTAGCTTCTAGCAGTCAGAGGTTTAGACACACCCAGAGCGTGGGATTGTATCCGTGACCATCTTGGCTAATAACCATTGATGGACCTATCCTCCATGAAATTATCTAATTCTTTCTTGAACCCAGTTTTTTTGTGTGTGTGGCCTTTACAGCATCCCTTGTTGATGAGTTCTGCAGGTAGACTGTGCATTGTGCGAAAAAGTGCTTCCTTATGTTTGCTTTAAACCTGCTGCCTATTATTTTTATCAGGTAACCTCCAGTTCTTGTGTTATGTCAAGGGGTAAATAACACTTCCCTATTCACTTTCTTCATACTGTTAATAATTTTAGAGACCTCTATCATATCCCCTCTTAATAGTCTTTTTTCTAAGAGGAACAGTCTGTCTTTTTAATCTCTCCTTATGGAAGCTGTTCCATACCGTAATCATTTTTATTTCCCTTCTCTGCACCTTTTCCAATTATAATGCATTTTTTTTAAGATAAGGTGAACAGAACTGCATGGAGTATTCAAGGTGTGGGCATACCATGGGTTTATATAGTGGCATTATAATATTTTTTGTTTTATCTGTCCCTTTCCTAATGGTTCTTGACCTTCTGTTAGCTTTTTTTGACTGCTGCTGCATATTGAGTAGATTTTTGCAGGGAACTATTCATGATGATTCCAAGATCTTTCCTGAGTGGTAACAGCTGATTTAGACCCCATCATTTTGTAAGTATAGTTGGGATTATTTTTTCCAATGTGCATTACTTCGCACTTACCAATATTGAATTTCATCTGTCAATTTGTCACCCAGTTACCCAGTTTTGTGAGATCCCTTTGTAACGCTTCACAGTCAGCTTTGGACTTAACTGAGTAATTTTGTATAGTTTGTAAATTTTGCCACCTCTCTGTTCACCCATTTTTTAGATCATTTATGAGTATGTTGAACAGCTCATGTCCCTGTAGAGATCCGTGGGGGGATCCCTCTGTTTATCTCTCTTCAGTGTGAAAACTGACAATTCCTA